GCATACTCACCCTTGCATATCATGCTTGCATACTTACACTTGCATACTTTGACACTGGCATACTTCGCACTTGGATGCTTTCGCTCTTCCAGTGTGTGTGTGTAAGTGTGGAAGTGTCAGTGTGTAAGTGTAAGTGTCGAAGTGTCAGTGTTCAAAGGATTTTCCGGAAGAACCCTTCGCAATGCTTTCGGGAAAAAGGGGCAGACCTATGGCAGCATCAGAGAAGTTTGGCTAGGCAACGTAGACTCTTGATTCATCAACACCTGCATATATGGCACCGTCAAAACCGGGAGCCCTGGTTTGCAGGAGACCCCAGGTTGACCTCCTGTAGGGCAGTCTATGTCAGCAGTCTATGTTGTTCATCATGTTTGTCGGTCGAGTTTTCCGGTGCCAATTCCCAGCGGATCCGATGACCTCTGAAGAGACGTAAAGCAGCTTGCTGATTCAGCTAGACTCCCTAGTTCAAGTCTTGCAAGTGGAGTGACACAAGTGAAAACCACCATGTTCTTCTTCGGAGCATGCCCATTCCACCTTAGTTCTTTGGAGCTTGGGAGCAGATTCCCCTTCCCACAGGTTCCGGAGCGCTTTGCAGATATGATGAAGTTCGGCTGTGAACATGTTGTCAGGGCGTAGTGCGGACATGTCACGATACTGGCCTGTTGCTACGCTGACATGTTGACGCACCATCACGCTACCGTGCGGTCCTTGGTAACCTGCTCTCATACGCCGACTAGCTAATCCTGAGACCATGCCTTGTATCTGGTGTCCTATCTGAGACCAAAGCTCTGAGGCAACGCTTGGTCTTCGTTCAAGAGTTGGTGGAAACTGCCCACGACATCGGCGCGATGACGTCGTTCCAGGGGAGTGGTCGATGTGATCGGAGTGACGATTGGATAAGTCTTTTTGGGTTCCAAGAGAGGTTCAGTGACCGTAAATAGGACCCTACTGGGGTACCCAACTGGGATAGTCAAGAGGGTTGTGACCCACCTCTGTTGGTTGATTTTCGGTTTGACCGGAAGATGCGCAGGACACAGGATAGACGATTTTTCTTCGTGAAAGTAAAGGAAGTTGCCTTCAGGTCCCTCAAAGTCTCAAAGGGTTTTCTTCTTAGTAAGGACTTTGACTCCCAGGGGATTGCTTTCCCTATTCCAAAGCAGGCCATGTTGCAATGTTTATGTCTGGTAAGTTCTCTCATGGAGAGTGATTCAACGATGGTCGGCTATGACAAAGTGAAGAGCGATGAATCCACGCTTTTTCACCTTTATTCCACGAATTTCCATGTTTTTCATGCACCCGAAATCCTTCGTAAAACCCATGGGTTGCGCGGGAGGCTCAGGCCAGGCCAGGACTCTTCGGGTTCAGCCCACCTCCTCGGCCCGGAGCGTGCCGTGTTCCGGTATGGTACGGGACGCGTTTGTACGGCTGAAACGACGTCCCAAAGAACCCCCCGGTTGAACGTCAAAGACTTGGTGCTTTGAAGTGGTTGAAGTAGAAACGCGGTGTGTCTTCAGGTCAAGACTGAGATCCAAGTGGCTCCAGCGAGGGTGTGGAGGTTCCAATGACCGTTCGCTGTACTCACCACTCGAAGTCGCCTCGACGTCGCAGGCTATGATGCTACTGTGCACTATCTTCTGCCGCTGGGGTGGCAGTGGATGGTTGGCAAGAATGTAAAAAGTAAATCTAGAGCAGTCCATGCTGATTTCGCAGATGCCAGACTTCCACACACAGCCTCGGAAAGGTTTTGTACAGCTTTGCGCCTGTTCACATACCCTAGCCCCCGTTGGACCATGTAAACCGTCACCCCCCCTAGCAAAAGACCGGTTCTTTGGCCTCCTAGCATCCAACGGAAGGGCTCCGCGCGCGCGCGCGGCGGGAGGTGGAGATCTGGGAGATGGGTCGTTCACACCTGGAGCCCGCTCCACCATAGTATTGACCTTGACCTTGACCTTCCAGGGTCCTCTCTTGACCTTCCAGTGTCCTCTCTTGACCTTCCAGTGTCCTCTCTTGACCTTCCAGGGCCCTCTCTTGACTTTCTAGGGCCTCTCTTGACCTTCCAGGGCCCTCTCTTTTTCACAACCGGTTCCGAAGTGGTGATGTGATGTGTTGTTCATCTCCTGCATGTTGGGGACGCTGCAAGGTGCACCCCGCACGGGATGCAAACGAGGTCGGAGACGAATCGTCAGGATTTCGGAGCAAAATCAAGGGTCAACCTTTCTGGATACATGTCCCCTCCATCCAACACAACTCATCTTTAAACAAATTTATCTCAACCAGGGCCCGGCCGTGATTCATGGATACTCCTTAACTTACCTCAAACCGGGGCTATGAATTAGATCCCCCCTCAAACCAGGGGCCCCCCAGGGGCCCTGGTTGAGATCTGTTAAAGCCATCGTCGGACCGAGCGGCGACTCCGGACCGAGCTTCGCTCTCTGGGCCGTTGCGCTCGAGGCCTCTCGTGCAGAGCTTATCATCGGACCCAGAGGCGGCGGCACGTGGCGGGGCACGTGGCCGAGCGGCACGAGTGGTGCACGAGGACGGGTGCTGGTTGAGCTAAAAAACCCTAGACCTTTTAAGACCATCTTTAGCAAGAAGACCATCAAAAGAATGGGAAAGGCCTGGTAAGTGTGTCAAATCCTTATATAGAGTAAAGCAATGGTTGTTCGGTAAAGCCTCTTATTTTGTTTAAACACAATGGTGGTTGGAATCCAAGGGACTCCTTTTGTGACGACTGAAGTAAAGGACATTCCTGAACGTCGGGTCACAAAGACTATTCTTTGAGTGTTTGACTCCGGATTTGATTGAAAGCCTGGATGTGTGTTCGTGATTCATTCCCCTGAGCCTTTTTCTTGGACCATTCACAAAAATGCTTGAGCTGGTATTTTGTATAGTGGTGTAAATATCCTTTAGTAAAACCCCTGGTTGTTTGGGATTCAATCCCTGATATCAATTCGATGGTGGGCGACCGGATGACCCACCAGCCCCCGGTGATCTCACCGGGGTCGTTCGCCGAAACCGTTTTGGACGGTTCAACAAAGCACCTGGGGAAGCGCCTGGGTCTTGTGGTTTCCAAACATCCTTCGCCCTCCGTGCGCCATGTCCGTTATCGGGGGTTGTCCTGGGTGAACACCATCGAACACCACAGCTGGATGACCCCCGGACGGCAGTCGGGCCTTAGGGACCCCTGGACCGACGGCCGAGCTCTCCGCTTTTTGCGCGCGCCCGGGCTGGGCAGGTCTTGGTGCGGCAATCCTTGATGCAGCACTTCGGAGACCTCGCAGGTGCTGAAGACCCCGGGTGACGCGTCGCGAGTCGGGTCGGAAGGGTCGGCAGGTGATGAGATCGGAAGGGTAGAGGCAGAGGGGCGGAGAGGCAGGGGAGAGGCAGGTGGGGGCTGTAGAGGGTGGTAGGTGGGTCGACAGCGGAAGATGGGAGGAATTGAGATATGTCCAGTGACCCTCAGTGACCTCTACTAATGAGATTCTAGTGGTGGCTTGAGACTTTTCTACAGCTCATGTTACTAAGATTGGAAGAACCTCTTCAGGGGTAGCCGTAGCTCTGGCCGGAGGAGATGCAACACCCTCTTCTCGCTACGAGGCTACGAGATCGGAGGAGATGCAACACCCTGGCCGACAGTTGGAGGAACGAGCTATGCTTTCTCAGTTCTCTCAGACTCAGCAGAGAGATGTGTGAGCCTGGAGATCTCTGAAATCTTTGGGATCGAAAAACCATCCTTAGCAGATCACGGCAGAAAACCCCATCGTGGCTTAGAGCATACGAATGCTCTGACGGTCTGGGGATCAGGGAATTGGTCTGAAAAACTTCGCTGAGGGAAAGTATAGTCTTTGGACTTCCAGGGTGTCCACATCCTTTGTTTTTCACATGTCCATTTGTCCAAATCATCTCCAGCTGCAAGCAGCTTCGAGGAACTCAGCCACACCAAATCCTAAGCTGGTGGGCTCCGGGAGCTGCACCAGCGAGCCCGTTTGAAGGGTCTGACTGTCCAAACCAATCGAGCTGTTCCACCACCTCCAGGTCTTGAGTTCGACCACCTCCAGGTCTTTCCCTTTCCGACTTCACAGGGGGTCCAAGCCGGGTGTCCCTTGGCGGAACGGAGCTGCCAGGCTTTCTGATTCAATCTGATCCGGAGAAGGGCTACGAGAAGGCGTGGGCGTGGGCTTGCACGCGGAGACGTGGAAGAGAGGTGGGAGCGTCCTACAGGGTTCATAGAGGCGTCCTACAGAGATGAAAAACAGATGGTCGACTGAGTCGACTGGTAGAATCTTGATGACAATATGTCAACCTTTGAAAAGGAAGAGGTATTACAATGCATCTCTGCCAGAGGTCACATGTCGGGGTGGTGTGGCTCGTCCCATCCAGTGAGTGGAGTAGCTGGGCACCCCGACTACCTCCATGGATAGCACCCGTCTTGTGACTCCTGGTGTGTTATTCTTTTAAGGAATCAAGACTTTCTTTTCATTGATGTCGCAGGGATCCGAGAAGTGGGACTTAATGAGCGACAAACAGTTCGCTGATGTGGTGGGAAGCTAACAGCTGATTGCACAGGGGATCCTGAAGGCAAATACCAAAAGCATGAGAAAACAGCGGGAAAAGGGGTAAGCGTTTCAAAAGGAGATCGCCCCATTCTTGCATGAAGATCAGTTGAACCGTCTTTTCTGTCTGCAGCAACAGCTTGTGGGAAGCCATTTTGGCCCGCACATCGTATCCGTCAGGAGGGATCCCCCCCCCCAACCCGGCGCGCCTTGGATGCTTCGTCTCGCCAAGCCCGCATGCTGCGTGTGACCAACGCCTTGTCGGGCGACCTGTTGCGTGAACTGCATGGAGAAGAGCTGCGAGACCTTCTGGAGAGTGAAGAACCCGTGAGGACCGAAATCGTCGTGGGAGACGAGAAAAGCTTCTCCTGACCCATTCCAGTCTGACCCAGTAAAACCTGTTTTCTTTTGTTTGAAATAACCTCCTTGACTTAGTGTAGATTCTAGATTTTTTTGTATGACCCATTCCAGTCGAAACGATTCGGTCCAACTGACCAGAAAACAAAAGGTTCGTGGAGTCTTTCTTTGTGTGTGTCACCGGAAAAGACCCACCGACCCCAGTCATGTGTTCCCCCCAGTCAACCCTTCCGAGCAGCTTCCGCCGGGACACGACGCGGACGGGGACGCTTGGCTCACTGCTGCGTCGTGCGCCGGGGGTCGTCGCTGCGGACTGGCGGGCGGACCGTTGGAAGGCCGCCAGGATGCTCGGATCGCCGCCCGGAGCACGAAGGGTTTGGGGGAAGGACCCGAGGTTGAAGGAGCTTAAAGGACCCTACTGATCAACCCATAGGATAGCCGAAGAGTCGGGTTCTGACCCACCTCTGGGATTGGGGAGCCACTGACCTTCCAACAACAAACATTTGGCCCCGAGCCTCTTCCTTTCCAAACGGTTAGGGGGGGTTAGGGGTCGGCTCATGGGGAGGAGAAGCTGTAGAGCTGGCTGTAGAGCTTGGTGTTCGAACTGATGCTCACGAAAAAGCTACACGGGGATTCCCGCGATGCTCAACGGGGTCAGTCTTCGATGCGCGAAGTCGTTGGTCGTTCATCCGAAGTCGTGACGTGTGGCAGGACGTTGAAAGAGCTCCTCGCAGCTCAGTTGGGCGTCTCCCGCTTCCGGCAGCGGCTTTTGAGGGACCAATCGGTGGAGCTCGTGGATGCGACGCCGGCCGCGACGGTGGCGACGTTGGTGCCGCCAGCGACGCTGCAGCTGTTGATCTTGGACTTTCAAGTTGCAGATGCAGAGACCACCGATGTGTTCATCGACGCCTGTGAGCACAATGAGTTGAGCAAGGTCTGGGAGTTTCAAAGCAAGAGTTTCTCCTTCCTCTTTTTTCCTTCTTCTTCTTCTTTTTTTCCTTCTTCGGAAGAGTGTTCGGGTGGGCCAAACAAAACACCACTGACATCTCTCCCGCCCCACCTTCCATATGTTTCTTGTTCCAAAGGACAACAACCCACCAACGAAACCCCTGCCAGCACTCTGATTTGGGTGGTGTATAGATTCAGATGTCCCACAACATCCCAACATCCCATCCCTGAACTTCCATGACAGCAGAAAAGGAGTTGAGCTGGTAGCCCGAGTAAAACAGCTCGCTTGTTTGGATTCAGACCATTGAATTCAAACCGGTGGGCCAGTTGGAATCCTCCCATCTCCAAACCATGGTGTCCTCCAAGAACCCCCTCCTGTGAACAGTTGGACGGACCTATTCGCATGCTGCCAGGTGGAGGCGATGCTTCGACAATTGCACGACCCCTCACGCAGCTCGCCGCGCAAGAAGCACATGGGGGGCCTTCACCTGGCGGCACAGGAGGCGACGGTTCGCCCGCTGTCGGCTCGGAACCGGAAGTCTCTTCGTCCCGGGACCGCGCGCGCGCGCGGCAACTGCTCCGCCTGAAGAGATCGTGGTGGCCCTGAAAGCGATCGTGACCTTTTTGGAGTCTCTGTGTGACCTCTTTAGGGACCAACGAGCCACCTTTCCTCAGCCACTAGGATCTCAAGTTCGGTCGCGTACTGAAGGTCCTGGATATTGGATAGGATTATAAAACATACCAGGACACACTGTCGGAGTGGTTAATGGACACCCCTCAAGCTGTAAGGAGCTATCAATAGAAACCGCTTAGGGTGTTGAGCATGCTTTTAAAAAAGGATTACATACTATTGGATCATTATAGATTTTAAGGTCTACAGAACATCGGATCATTCTCTTCTTACGTGATTCATCATTAGCCCATATTCTATTCTTCTAAGGCCATCAGATGAATGCCGAAGGGAACTGAGCCACCTTCCGCCCATTCCGTGTCCAGCCGAAGGGAAGCAGCCTCACTGGCCGTCGTCGGAGCAGACCGAACTGAGAACACACGGGCTGCTACACACACACACCCTCCAGCAGAGGTGGGTCAGAACCCTATAGATAGACTATCCTAGTTGGGTACCTCCAGGTTTTCCGGGTCCTATGGTCCCGGGAGACCTGGCTACCTCGTCTCGCCTCTCCTGATGGCCCGGACCTGGGAGCGGACCTGGACTGGACGCACCGGCCCGCGGGCCGCTCCCCCGCGGGCGCGGCGCGGTTCGTGTGAAGCGGAGATCGAACTCGGGGAGTTTGTTTCATGAAGGACGGCCTGGATCCTGCAATGCCACATTTCTGCCCTGGTTTTGATAGGTGAAGTTGGGCTGGGTTTGGTGCACAGACTGGTCAGATCACTTCAAAACCGGCTTTCGCGACCCGATCCGTCGATGGACAAAACCGGGCGAACGCATGGGAGGGGAGAGGACGAACCGCAGTGCGGTTCGGGCTTCGTGCGTCGATTCGCCGCCGGAAGAGCTTCGGTGTCCCTTTTCGGTCAGGGGCATATGGAGGTCGTCCAGCTGCTGTTGGACAGCTTCGTGGACGTCGAATCCCCGACGATGCATCAGTCCAACGCCTTCATGCTTGCTGCTTGTTGCGATAAGACCGGCGTGATGCAGTTGTTGCTGGAGAGGAGAGCCAACAAAGACGTGGTGGATACTATAGGCTATCACAGCCTGCATCGTGCGGCGGAGCTCGGGAACCTGGAGGTGTGTCGCGTGCTCCTGGCATGGGGATTCGATTTGAAGGATGCGACAGAGGGCATGAATGGCTTCACAGCCTTGCATTTGGCAGTGAAGGAAGGCCCCGGTTTTGCGATGCAGGTTTTACTTTTCTATGTGGACATCACCTTCTGGGGAATATGTTTAAGTTCTTTTCCAGGTTCCTTATAGGCAAATCAAAGAAGGCCATCTGGACGTGGTTCAAGTGCTCATGGACGGTGGCGTTGACAAAGAAGCCATGAAGGTGGAGATTGGAACTGCGAAGGGAGAGAAATATGCGCCACCGAGGGAGCCTGAGAATGGCTTCAGAGCGCTGCATTTGGCAGCCAACAAAGGCTGCTTGGACATGGTGCAAGTGCTGCTGAAGGGTGGCGCTGACAAAGATTCTGTCACACCAAAAGGTTTTACGGCATTGCATTTCGCAGCTCGCAATAACCACATAGAAGTTGTTCAAGCGTTGTTGGAGGCTGGAGCTGGACTGAAGATGGTGACAGAAAGCGGCTTCTCAGCTTTGCATGTGTCGGCCATTGGAGACCGCTGCCAAGTGGTGCAATTGCTGCTGGAACATGGTGCTGACAAAGATGCTGTGGTACTGAACGGCAAGACCGGCTTGCATTTGGCAGCTCGCAAAGGGCACTTGAAGGTGGTGCAGGTGCTGTTAAAGAGTGGTGCTGCCAAAGATGCCAAGACCCCTTCTGGCTCCACCCCCTTGCATCTGGCAGCCAACGAAGGCCACTTGGCAGTGGTGCAATGCCTGCAGGACGCTGGTTGCAAAGATGCCGTGGACGAAGAAGCCTGGGTTTTGCTTGATGATTTTGGTATTGTCCCGGACTGGTCCTTGGGTGACCCTCCCGAAAAACTGGACGAAACATGGCTTCCTGGAAGATGGCTTTCCTCTACCAAAAACGGTGGTGCAATCAGGGTGCATGATTAGTCTTCCACTGACTGGGTAAACCTTTCGACCAGGTGTCCATCTTAGTCAGTTGGGTCTACTGGGTAAACCAGTTGGGTCCGTCTTAGTCTTCCAGGGCCCATAAGGGTCCGCCGGGTCCGCGACTCCAAGGATGGCTTCACGGCCTTGCATTTGGCCGTGGCGGCGGGCCACTCTCACGTGGTGCAGTGGCTTTTGGATTCGAGCGGTGCCAAGAAGCTGGGTCCATTCGCTCGGTGTAGGGTCCGAGTATTAGGTGGGAATCCGACTCCAACGTTTTGGGCTCTGGGGTCCTTTTTGGGGGGGTTTCGAAGGGAGTTCTGATTAGAGAGAGGACTAAGTGAGGTGGTGGAAAATGGGACCCCCCATCTAAAAGACATCTTGGGGTTTGTGCCATCTACTCTGAAACTGTAACAATCACTCGGAGAGGTGTTTCACCTGACCGCCAAGGAAAGACTGGTCCTCCTCACCTGATGCTTCCACGTCATTGCATTTGGCAGTGAAACAGTGGCGTTTGGAAGTGTTTCAAACGTTGCTAGAGGCTGAAATCAATCCCGATGTCGTGGCGGCAGATGGCTTCACGGCTTTGCATCTCGCAGTCCGTGAGGCGCAGCTGGAGATGGTGCAGTTGCTGCTGAAGTGTGGCGCTGACAAAGATTCTGCTGCGCCCAATGGTTTCACAGCATTGCATTTCGCAGCCGAGGGCAACCAGATAGAACTGGCTCAAGTGTTGGTGGAAGCTGGTGCAAACAAAGAGGCCGCAACACAGGAAGGTGACACACCGTTGCATTTGGCAGCCAATGGAGGCTATTTGGACCTGGTGCGAATGCTGCTGAAGTGTGGCGCTGACAAAGGTTCTGCCACACCAAAAGGGTTCACTTCATTGCATTTCGCAGCTCACAAGGGCCACTTGAGAGTGGCTCAGGCCTTGTTGGAAGCT